GAAGAAAATGTGATCAATATTATATTTGCCCTTGCCCGAGATGATATCAAGAGTAATTAGTGTCTTCTATTCAATTCGACGCCAGCATATCTTGTGAATTTGACCAACTTTTTGGTCATACCAACATCACACTTGAATCCCCATTGAGTTTTGTTCTCAAATGGTCTTGTGACATCATACAAAAACTTTGAACACCATGCAAAGAGCTTTATTGACCAGCAATTCGAGCAGAAGCCTCAGGAGATGAAGAATGTGTTGTCAAATGTTTTATGAACCAGTGATTATGGTGTTGAACCAATGTTGTTATCATATGGTTTTCCTTTATTGATACAAGATGAAGATTTCTTTCCACAGAAGGAGAACTGAAATTTTAAACAAGAAACTAGTGGTACCAAATAAGGTTGAACTACAGGTTGTTGTTAAGAATCTCGACATGATATGGTCCAAGTTGCTTTATTCGAGATCTGATTTAAATGTGGGGACATGAAAGGAATTGAGATAAATTCTCCTTATGATGTGTTTCAAGAGTCAAATCAGAACAAATTCTACTCCCCTAATTAATCCCCGCTGAGTCACATATCTACATCTACACTCTTCAAAGATGATAGATTCTCTTTTTAAAGATGATAGATTCTCTTTTCAAAGATGAAAGCTTTATGGGATTTCTACACAAGTCCAAGCAAATAAAGTTGGTTTTATCCAAGACAAAATGGAGCATCGGGGTCATAATTTTGACTACGACAAGAGTTCCATAAATGAAACATTTCTTCTAAGACTTAAATGAAGCAAAGAAGGCACCACGATACAAGTTGATCAGATGAATCTGCAGAAATGCAAGCTTGATAACATAAGTTTCTACACTGATATCTAGAGGTAACCCTGGCAATAAATGATGAAGTGAAGGAAGACCAAGTTCACCACTTTGAAGTCAAATGAAGATTGCATCAACATTCATGCATTCATAAGAACATCATTTGCACAATAGACAATGCATTACATTGATACATCTGAGTGCATTCAAACATGAAGTTTTACAGATCTTCAGAAGAACAAGAAGATTCATGGAAAAAATACCTTACACGAAGAATGTATTCAAAACCATAAATACAAGAATCACGCAAACATCTGAAGAAGAGATGGATGCAATCCACAAAAATTAGCATTATCTTGAGATTGGGGCATGTTACCCAATCAACATGTTATTTCAAAAAAACAGAATGAGAAAAATATTTTCATAGTTTCTCATTTTATCTTTTCTAAAATGAAATTGTTGAAAAGTAAGAAAATGATTTTCTTAGTTTTTTTACTTAGTAAACTATTTCCAACAGCCTTATCTTGAGATTGGGGCATGTTACCCAATCAACATGTTATTTAAAAAAAAAACAGAATGAGAAAACGATTTTCATAGTTTCTCATTTTATCTTTTCTAAAATGAAATTGTTGAAAAGTAAGAAAACGATTTTCTTAGTTTTTTTACTTAGTAAACTATTTCCAACAGCCTTATCTTGAGATTGGGGCATGTTACCCAATCAACATGTTATTTTGAAAAATAATGAGAAAACGATTTCCATAGTTTCTCATTCAATCTTTTTTAAAAATGAAATTGTTGAAAAGTAAGAAAACGATTTCCTTAGTTTTTTTTACTTAGTAAACTATTTCCCACATCTGTAAGTCCTGCAGTGCATGATGTTTCCAAAAAGCCTTCGGGAGCTTTTTGATGTTTTCAAAGCCTTAGGGTCATCTGTAAGTCCTACAGTGCATGATGTTTCCAAAAAGCCTTCGGGAGCTTTTTGATGTTTTCAAAGCCTTAGGGTCATCTGTAAGTCTTGCAGTGCATGATGTTTCCAAAAAGCCTTCGGGATCTTTTTGATGTTTTCAAAGCCTTAGGGTCATCTGTAAGTCCTACAATGCATGATGTTTCCAAAAAGCCTTCGGGAGCTTTTTGATGTTTTCAAAGCCTTAGGGTCATCTGTAAGTCCTGCAGTGCATGATGTTTCCAAAAAGTCTTTGGGAGCTTTTTGATGTTTTCAAAGCCTTAGGGTCATCTTTAAGTCCTACAGTGCATGATGTTTCCAAAAAGCTTCGGGAGCTTTTTGATGTTTTCAAACCTTCGGGTCATCTGTAAGTCCTACAGTGCATGATGTTTCCAAAAAGCCTTCGGGAGCTTTTTGATGTTTTCAAACCTTCGGGTCATCTGTAAGTCCTGTAGTGCATGATGTTTCCAAAAAGCCTTCGGGAGCTTTTTGATGTTTTCAAACCTTCGGGTCATCTGTAAGTCCTGCAGTGCATGATGTTTACAAAAAGCCTTCGGGAGATTTTTGATGTTTTTAAAGCCTTAGGGTCATCCGTAAGTCCTACAGTGCATGGTGTTTTTAGGACCTCTAGAATGATGTTTTCAACATTTCAGTCTTACTCAAAAGAAGAAAAATGAAAAAAATTATTATTTTTTCGTCTTTGCTCTATTCTTGTTAACACAAGAATAAGCAAAGAGGGGCAGCTGTAAACACTAATTTTTTTTCCATTTTGTTTTTATTATTATTATTAAAATTATTATTATTATTAATATTGTATATATTATTATATTATATTATTATTAAATTATTATTACAAACAGGCCAAAATCGGGGCCCAATTACAAACTTGGTGGCCCAGATCGAGAAACCCTAACCCTTTTAGGGTTTTCTAAAAATTCTAGTCGCCCCAGCCAACGGTTCAGCTTCCAGCCGCCTCTGATGATTCTAATAGTCTCCAGCAGCAGCCGACGCCTCTACCAGGTGTTTCACCCTGCTGTAGCCACGACACCGCCGCCTCAAAGAAGCCTTCAGAAACGCCTCGTCATCACCCCACGTCGAGCTCTATGGTGAGTCACCACCATAGCTATGGTGACTCACCGAGAAACCCTTCTGTGACCGGTCCGAGGAGTGTTTCGTCGAGGCTATAAAAGCCTCGACTCACCTGAAAAATAAAGAACGGACAGCAAGAACAGAGAACAAAAAACAGAGAGGAGACCAACAGCCACGGAGCAACCAAACAGAGAGCAGAATACGAGAACAAATCAACACCCAATAACCAGAAAGAAGAGGAAAATGAGCATCTTACCATCATAAAAGCCTCCAAACCGTTTGGAACCACCGAAATCATTGTAAACCGAAGGTAAAACCTTTGATTTATTTTAGATCTAGAACGATCTAAAGCGTTTTAGGACAAGCGAAGGCCATATTCGGCCTTAGGAGGTCGAGATCTACACTCTAGGGTAATTTGGGAATTCCGGCCACCGTTGGTGGCGACCGGCAGTGGTGATCGGCGCCGTTGGTGGTGGCCGACCGGTGAAAGAAATCTAGAGAGAGGCGAGAGAGTTTTTCTACTCTCTCAGCTAGAGAGAGAAGAGGAAAGATGAAAATGAGAAGCCGACCCTTAAGGGTCGGTCTTTTGGGGATTTTAAACCCCTCCCCAAACGACGCCGTTTTGGGGAGGGGTATATATGTAATTTCTCGCGTGGGTAAACTATACCCGCTGCCACCACAGTTTTGTAACTTTTCATTTTGGTCACTGATATCAAATCTTGAACCTTTTAATTCGGTCTTTCGATTTTATTTAGTTTATAATTTAGTCCTAGTCTGTATATTTATATATATTTAGGGTAAATACCGTATTTAGTCCTTATAACTTTAATAACTTTTATTTTGACCTCTAATTAATTAAGTTTTATTACTTTTTATATTTAATTTTAATTTTATTTATTTTACTCATTGTTTATTTATATTTTAATTTTATATGTTTAAATTATTATTTTCATAATTATTTTATTATTATTTTATTCATATAAATATATACCTATATTCTTTTAAATAATAATGTTTATTTATTTTCAATATCAAAGAAAATGGCAGTCTTAAAACAACTGGATGTCCTATTCTGGTATTTTAAATAATTAAACATTATAAAAATTATAATTTAGTTTTATTTAAATTATTAAAATTTTAATATTTATTTTTTAATATCGAAGAAAAGAGCTATCTTAAGGCACCTAGAAGTCCTTTTCTGATATTTCTAAATAAATAAATATTTTTATTAATATATTTAAATTAATATATTTTCTTAAAAATTATAGTAATAAAATTTGAAATAACATAATTATAAATTAAATATATTTGAATTCTTAAAAGTCTATTATTAGAGACAATTTATAATTAAAAAGTATCAATTTTGGGCATTGTAGGGGTGCTAATCCTTCCCTAAACGTAACCGACCACGAACCCCTTTTTTATTAATAAAAAGAACGAATTTTTTGTTATAAACGCATATCAGTTCATCTTTTAACTGATGTTTTCTTAAAAACTCTTTTAAAAGATAATTTTTAGGTATTCGACCTACCTGACCCAAAAGGCCGATGGCGACTCCCAAATTATTTATTATTCACATTATTTTTCCCTGCCAAGTATAAAAAAATTTGTGCCCGGACGAAAACCGGTTACGACACTAGATATATTCTTTTTGTTGTCCATATTTTGTAGATTTTGTAACCAACATGCCTCAGGTAAAAGAAGATGTATTTGTATATCTTTGTTTCGGAAAATAAGATGTTTGGTGTAGACAGTACATCAATGTGTCTCTCATATCTATAATTTATCCGGGCCAACTTGGCAGGTAATATGCATAGGGTTGTAGTTGTAGAGAGTGCTTTAAATCTAGAGAGGGAAAGGAAGCAAAAATTAAAAGAGTTTGAAGAAAAAAATCAATCACGTAGATAAAGTTTAATTTTATTAGATCATTCTTAATAAAAAAAATTATTACATGATCAAGAAAGTCAAGGTTGTGGGTTCAACTAGACCAAAAATGGATCCCGGAAAGAGGAATGATAAACTCCAAGCCCTGGGCCAGTCTAACCAGGCATTTGTATTAGGGCAGCTGTCATCTTATCTAACTCCTAAAGAGGTAGCCAAATGCATTAATGGAAAGCAAAAAGCTTATATATAGGCAACGGTGCTATCTACCCTTTCACAGTTTAAGGGTATCTTAGAGCCATTTACAATGCATAATTCGTTCATCTTTCTTATGGCTTTTTGTCTGCTATTTACATTAGGAAATGTAGGTCATCAAGCTGAGGCTGCTAGGGCATTTTTCGTGTTCGGAGATTCATTAGTCGATAACGGTAACAACAACTATCTAGCTACTACAGCTCGGGCTGATGCTTACCCCTATGGTATAGACCATCCGACTCATAGAGCTACCGGCCGGTTCTCTAATGGTCTTAACATCCCAGATCTTATAAGTACGTTCTTTCAATCATTTCATACATGTTTTTCTATCTGTCTGAAGTAAAACATGGTTCAATCTGTTGTGTTTTTAATGTTTTTCACGTGTTATTTAGGTGAGCAAATCGGCTCGGAACCAACATTGCCGTATCTTAGCCCGGAGCTCACTGGACAAAGGCTTCTTGTTGGTGCCAACTTTGCTTCTGCTGGAATCGGAATTCTCAACGACACCGGAGTTCAATTTGTAAGTCTGATTTCCTTTTACAAAGGAGATAGCGTCCGAATCGAAACTGGATTGAACTCGGACTGATTTTTGATTTATTTTCGGAATGCCCTAAAATAGTGCTACGTTTTGTAGGTCAATATAATCAGAATCTACCAGCAGTTAGAGTACTTCAGGCAATATCAGGAGCGAGTGAGTGCACTTATTGGACCTCAACAAACTCAACTCCTAGTGAACCAAGCACTGGTTCTAATGACCCTTGGCGGCAATGACTTCGTAAACAACTATTACTTGGTTCCCTTCTCGGCGCGATCACGGCAATTCGCACTCCCCGATTACGTCGTCTATATAATTTCCGAGTATCGGAAAATTCTAATGGTAAACTTGCCCCATCACTCAGACTCATATTTTGCTCTCCTTCCATCTTTATTGTGCTCAACTACCATTTCTAACAGGTATTGGTACAGTTTGATAAAAAAAAATATACCATAATGTGATCACCAATTAAAGTACTACGAATAATATATATAAAATAACGGAGACAAGTTTCATTGTTCCGGTTTTCATGGAGTCTAGAAAGAGAAGAGGGTGAATTACTGTTATTTATCAAGTTTGGTTTGGTTGGTGAGGCCGAGATGAATTTTGATGCTTTTTTCAGTGACTACAATTAAAGCTAAGGCTTATTTTTTTCGATAATAAATGTTACTGAGGTGAATATTTAAAACTTTAAGAGGGATAAATTTATAAAATTTTAGAGATAAAAATATATTATCAATAGAAAATACAGATAATATTTAAAATATGTGATAATTTTTAGAGAGCGATTGTCCTTACCCCTCGGCCTATTCGTACTTTATAGGAGGAATATGGTGATAAAGCTTGGGGCAACTTAAAACTTTATAAAATTTAGAAGTTTAAATTAAAAATTTTAAAATTTTTGAAGAGTTCGTTTATATTTTTTCAAAAAAATTGAGGTCTAACTAAAATTTTAAAATTTTGAGAGGTTTAATGTGAAGTTTTAAAATTTATGGGTGGGTTTAACTAAGAATATTAAAAAATATTAAAAATAATATAAAGTTTTCAAAATTTTAAATTAAACATTTTGAAAATTTTAAAAATCTAAATTATAAGTTTTTAAAATTTTAGGAGTTGTAGCCACTTCCCTACTTATGGATATAGGAGAAGATTATAGATCTTAATATCTAAATCTTATATTTATTAAATATGTATCTATTCGTAATTTTTCTAATCTATTAATAACATAAATCTTATAACTGTTTAAACCTAAAACCTTTAATAAAAATAACCTTCCTTGCCACTGAGACCCTTAATTTATTTGAATAATCTTTTAAAGGTCATACCCTCGTAACTATAACTAAATAGCAGACATGAGTACGAAACCTAATATAATATATTTGACTTTGCAGAGGCTACATGAGTTGGGGGCAAGAAGGGTTTTGGTGACGGGGACTGGACCGTTGGGGTGCGTTCCAGCCGAACTGGCTCAACACAGCAGAGCCGGTGAATGTGCGGTTGAGCTGCAACGAGCCGCAGCCTTGTTCAACCCCCAGCTTGTTCAAATGCTCAACCAAGTCAACAATCAGCTTGGATCAACTGTTTTCGTTGCCGTTAATGCAATTGAAATGCACATGGATTGGATCGGTAACCCTCAAGCATTCGGTACGGTTTCTTCTTTAGCTTTTCATTTTTTTTTTCTAAACTATCGACGTCATTGATTTAAACTGAGCTTGCAGTCGCATTTTCCATTGCTTTGCGATTATCGCAATTGCGAAAATAATGGGTGCTATTGCTATAATTATGAATATCGTAGTCATGTTATAAAGGTTTTGAACGATACCATTATTGTTATGTAATGGTTGCTATTTCAATAGTAGACCATATTTAAGTCTCTCACCCATATACGAAACAAAAAAACTTAAAAAGTAATAACTTCACCAAACTGTGAATGTGGTAGATACAAAAGATGGATGGACGTTTGTTGGGAAATGATAAAAACAACGGGACCATATTGAATTAAATGTCATTCTTGATCCAGTTGTTTTTAGAGTTAAATGATTCGATTGGCCCCCAGTCTCTGCATAAAATTTATTGTTGAAGCTATAAATGGAAATGACAATTTGCAACCTTGAGAAGCCAAGGGGTACGCCATACTTTCGGGCACCCTTTCGGTTCATCTCTGGTTAGACTTGTACCCAAGTAACTTATGTATTGGCAATGGTTTAATACACATACTAAATCTTGTGCATAATATGTTTTGGCTAGGTTTTGTTACATCAAAGGTAGCCTGCTGTGGACAAGGGCCTTACAACGGAATCGGACTATGTACGGTAGCATCAAACCTATGCCCGAACAGAGACATTTACGCATTTTGGGATCCTTTCCATCCTTCTGAGAGGGCTAATAGGCTGATTGTTCAACATATCATGACTGGTTCCACCAAGTACATGCATCCAATGAACCTTAGCACTATCATGGAATTAGATTCTAGTGTTTAGCGTATCTTCTAGTTCCTCTTTAATTGAACTGGGTTTTTGTTCTTTCAAGAGAAAGGGACAAAAATGTTAAATGACGAGACTGGAACACAAATTTAAGTTAAATTGAACTTGGGGTTCAACTCGATTATTATATGCTTGGATAAGAGATTGTGGAGTCTTATTTAGTTAGTGTCACATTAGAATTTGTTATTGTGATATGCTTCGATTTGTATGCAGTACTGAATAATATTTGTATGCACTTTTCATATTATTCGGTCACTACGATGGGGATTCTCACTGTTCTATTATTATCTATGGAACATGAATCAAATATTCTCAGTTCATACTATTTTCCCAAAATATCAAAAGATTAGTCGAAGTTCTACTTTTAAGCTTTTCTTTTTGTTTTGGATGATCCTATCCCTTATTCTTCTTTTGAAAATAGAAGAACGTATAATAATGAAAATATCATCCATCAATTAACATGAAATTTTATGTAAAATGTATACATATTACATATATACACATTAAAGAGGGTATAAATTAAATATGACGTTGAATGAGGTTAGGGATAGATGAAATGGGTAGATGAAGACAGTCGTCCCTAGGGCTGTAAACGAGCCGAGTCGAGCTCGAGTATTGCTAAGCTCGACTCGAACTCGAAAAGTTTAAAATTATGCTTGACTTGACTCGAAAACTATCGAGCTAATAATTATCAAGCTCATCTCGAACTCGAAATATAATATTGAAACTCGACTAGAACTCGAAAAGACTCGAATTCAAAATAAAATCAGGAGCTCGATTGAAACTCAAAATCAAACTCGAATTTGAACCTACAAAAATCATATATTACATTTAAAAATATATTTTTAAAATTTTATAATTATCAATAATGTATTTTTAATATATTTTTAATAATGTAATTTTAAAAAATCTAAAATTATAATATAACATTTTTTCGAGTAGCTCGATAGCTTTTTGAGTCGAGTATTAAGTAGCTTGTTTTAGCTCGTTAAAAATTCGAGTCGAGCTCGAGTCGAGTTCATTCGATTCGAGTGTTGATCGAGCTTTGACTAAGTCTATCTCAAGTAGCTCGCAATCTATCTCGTCTCATTTACAGCCCTAGTCGTCCCTTTACAAAATTTAAAATTACCATATATTTTAGATATTAAAATATATTTTCTCCCTATTAGATTTTTATAAGTTCGTCTCTTTTTAAAATTTTAGAAGTTCACCTCCTAACCTAAATGAAGGTAAATTCTTTTCGTACTCAATCCCTAAACTATATTCTCATTAAAACTCCTAATTTTTTTCACTAGGGAGCGTTTGGTTCACGGAATGTAAGATTGCCAATGAGAATAAAAGATTAACAAAGAATAGGGTTACTGGGAATGTTGTATTTTGTGTTTGGTTGGTTTAACAGGAATGTAAGATTATCGTGTTTGGTTAAATGAATAAAAGATTATTGGAATGTATATTTTACCAAATTATCCTTATTATATATTTGTTTTTTTAACAAGTTGAATTCTACTATAATATTACTATAATTAATTTATATATTTTCTTTAAAAAAAATTAAATTCATAAAATTTATATAATTTTTTTTTTACAAAATTGAAAAGATAAATAGGTTTAATGAAAGAGTAAAATTTTATTTTAACCCCTGAACTTCATATAAAATTATAATTATAGACTTTTTTTGTAAATCTAAAATAGTTTAAGGATAAATTTGTAATTAAACCTTCATATAATTTTTATTATTCAATGACAGAAGAATGATCATTTTGAAGAAGAAAAAATTTAAGGACATTTTAGTCCAAAACGTCGGTAATCCAACGATACCTAAAGGAATGGAGGTAATGACATTCCCGGTAATATACCCAAAAAATCCACTGTTGGTAATAAAAGATTATTGGGGCTGAGAATGTTGGCCAACCAAAATGGGGAAATGAGATTTCATTCCCCCGGTAATCTCAGATTACTTGAACCAAACACCCGTAAAATATTTTTTCATGAAAACCTAGGGTATATAAAAAATCCCTCAAAATCTTATTTATGGCTTTCAAATTAAAAGAAATTTGATGGGGATAGTTTTTTTCTTGAGCTAAACTAAATTCCAAGTGAAAATGAGTGGAAAAAGAAAAAAGGAAGAGAAACCCTCACATGAAGAGAAAATGGTGCCAAGCTCTTGAGGAAGATGATGAACACTTTGTTCATCTTTTTCTTATTTTTGTCATACATATTTACTCTTAAAAAGGGGTAAAGTATACGTTTAGTATCTTAATTATCAATTTTGTTTCATTTGGGTTTTTAAAACCATAAATAATATTATGTGTTGGTTTCATTTTAGTCACCAACTCTTAAAAAATTAACAGAATTATTGTTGTGGTATTTTTTTTTCCATTGATGACATGTTATTATCTTACGATGACATGTCAATATTATTGTTAATTTTTAATGACAAATGACCAAAATAAAATTAAAACTAAATGTTAAAAAAACAATTGAGTGACAAACAAAATAAAAAAGATAGTTAGGTGTAGTTTACCCTAAAAAAACCTCTAAATTACAAAATCCAATGACAGGAAATAAAGATAAAATTTCCACCGAAAGTTAATGGTTCATGTTTATTACTTGTGCTAGTATCCATAATTTAATAGGGTAAATGGATTAATAAAAACACAACGTTTAGTAGTTTGAGTTATTGTGAGAAGGCGAAATTTTGTGACCGAGAGGGCAACAAAAACAGACACAACTTTTCCTTTGTTTTCACAAGTGACTCAATGTATTTTTTTTTTCTTAATGAAACCTTAATCTTCTAAAAAATTACTACGAGTGACTTAAATTTTTACAATTTCCCTAATTATTCTTTATCTTTAAAGAAATTGTAAAACTAGTCCTCAAAAGAGTTCTTGGGTGTTACACCAATCCCCTTGGCTGTATCCACGCAACATTTTACTTCTTTTTTCATTTCTAAGGTTGAAAAAATGGTTAAATCACTTTAAGTGTCCCTAAACACCTCAATTTCACAAAAAGGATAAAGATTTTACCAAAAGATCAATTTGGTCCTTGAAATACCACTTTAAACTTCTAACTCTAATTTTAGATTGTGTCAAGGAGTTTGAAATGAATTTGTTGTTGTGGATTTTGTTAGAGGTATTGGAAAATTGCAAGAAGAGTTTTGTTGCAATGAGTTTTCAGTTGCGTGGAATAATTCTCGATTGGTCCAATAATACTTCAACATATGTTACATAAGAATTAAAGTTTGAAAACTTCATGGTGGAACTTCAATGGATATTTGGCTTACATAAGAATTGTTGAAGATTCGAAGATCAATTTTCTAATGAAATTTGTGTCAAGTGAGAGATTGTTAGATATTGACTCAAATTCTAATTGGAAATTAAGTTGAATTTTGTTGTAATTCTATTCGTTGAAGATTACTTGATGATTAAGTTTACTTAATGAAAATTCTTATGAAATAAAGATTTTTGGTGATCAAGTATTTTACTCTACAAATAGAGAATATGTTTTAACCTACAGAATGGTGAAAGAGAATTGTTTTGGAGATATATAATCCTTTTGTAGTCTTTGTAATTTTTAGAATTTACGTTGCAAAGCGAGTTTTGTAGGAATGTGGGAAGAGTATTTTTGGGATACGTGAGGTTTTGATATACATATTGGAACTCATTATTTGTATTCTTTGTGATCTCTATATTTATAGTGGATTATTTGTTTCTCTTGTTCATGAAGGAAAATAAGACCATATAATGTTAAATCTCGTCTCTTACGTGTGTCTTATTTTATGTTGATATTATTTCAGTTATTTTTTTCTTATAAATATCGAACATAATGTTATGTGTTATGATAGACTATTATATGTTTATTGATATCATCGAGCCTAAAGCTCAACGTGAAGTATTTTTGTACATAGATATTGGTCATAGATATGCAACTAGTTTTGGACCACGTCATGCGTTCGAGAAACAACACGGCTAAATCATATATATTATTAGTGGTAACATGTACATAAGATATTTTGGTTTAAATTATCTTGATATATGTGTAATGTTTAGAGGGTAAATTTATGAGTTTTGGTGTTAAAACCATATGTATGCCATGTTTGGTTTAAATTACTGAACATGTCAAAATTTGACTTAGAATTTATTTTTGGTACGGAAATTTGCATATTTTAATTTTGTAAAGTATATTTCAAGTTGAGAATAGCATCAAAATACTTAATAGGAACTGAGAGGACAGATAGGGCAATCGTCGCTATAAAATATTTGAATTTTTTTACTCCATAAAATTTTATAAGTTCATTTTCCTCTAAAACCTTTTAAGTTCGTCTTCCTAATGTCCATTCACGTGGCCAACAAGACTTTGCTTGGAAAAAACATCAACAGGAAGAATTGGCCGAGAAAGAATGCAAAGCCTGAGCCAATTTCAGAAAATTGCAACCGGAGAAACCAATGTGGAAAGTTTAAAACTTAAGTATAAAATTCTTGTAGCCACGGATTAATATTTAAGAATTTTGGCTGAATTCAAGAAATTTAAATAGGTCTCTCCACAGTGCAATACACAACTGATCTCAATAGTCATTCCATCATTTTTCGTGCATGAAATCATTGGTATGGAAACCAAAAGAAGTGGAGGAAGCTGCGTTTTGGTTCGACAGGTTTTCGTCGGGAACAGGTTTATGAATATGGACCAAGACATTAAACCAAAGTTGCAAATGTTCTTTCTAGATCATGATAATAATAATAATAATAATAATAATAATAATAATAATAATAATGTCAAGAATAGGACGGTCTGAATAGTCAAGTACCAAAGCATTAGAGGGTTACATATAAATACATTTACATTAAAAATCCTTCAGGAGCCCACAATGGCTTCTGGAGAAACTATAGTTTCAATATCAAAGCCACAATTACTATACAGAAGTTCAGACAAAACTTACTTGACTTCTCTTGGCAACCTCTAGATTCTCGGAAACCGCAGCGGTTAAATTGGGATCTTCAAACCTGAGCTCGGTACCCAGTCTGCAGTGAGTTAGGATTTGAAAGAGTGGATTCAGCAAAAGAGTAAAGAAAAATGAAGTAACATGCCCCCATAATTTGGCCTAGTGTTTCACCCTGGCCCCCATAATTTGGCCAAATCGAATGCCTAACTGCACGTGTACTTCTAAAAGGAAAATGGTCAGTTGGGGCGATGACCATTTTCTCAGTCCCCAATAAGACCAAAGTGAAATGCTAACATAGAGACCATGA